TATTTTATTATCTTTGTCAAAATAATTAAAAATAAAAAACATTGAAAAAAGAAAACATAAATGAGTTCCAACTCCCAACACGTTTAGGTTTTTCTTTTTCATTGCTTTTATTTTTAATTATTTTGACAAAAATAATAAAATAATGGATAATTTCTGTCTAACAGAACAAAAACGTTTGAATGAAAGACATATTAACTGGGACATGTGTCACACAGCTATTACGTGCTCACTCGTTATATTTACCTAACGTGCCTACTACATTCGGACCCATGTGTCACACATCTATTACGTACTCACTCATTGCGCTTAACTAACGTGCCTACTACATCCGAACCCGCAAAACAAATCCTAATTTGCCCTCCTACCTTCTCACGTCCCTCTCACCAAGCTTGCAAAATCTTCTCATATATTTTTTTTCCATGAATATTCTCATATTCTTTTCACATCCCTTTCCTCCTCTTAAAAGTTTAGGATGGAACCCGTGAAGTGTTCTTACTTTTATCTGATCTTTCTAGCTCAAGAGGAGTACATGACGACTCATGAATCTTACGTATTTGATGTTTTGCCTTTTTTTCACTGTGAAAATGGCATTAGATGTGAACCATGCCAACACAAATGGACATAGTTGTCAAGTGGTTGCAGCTGAAAACTTTAGATTCCAAAAGCGCCCAAGCAAGAGGACCCAAAATCATGGATGAACCTGGAATGTTTTACAGATGCATGGCTCGGCCCATAAATTCATCTTACCCCATTCTTGTCCTCATAGACTTTTACTTTAGACTGTTGACTACGTATCAAACGTGCAGTTATTAATTAACGCGTTCCACGCAAGATCTGTTTGTAAATGGTCCTAAATTCTTACTTCTAAATCCTAATTAATTATCAAAAAAAAACTCCTAGTTCCTAAATCCTAACCCAGCACTTAAAAATCTTTGACCCGATAACGAGAGCATCTTCTCCTGGTCAAATCTTTGACGGAGATAATTCTAGTGACTTATCGAAAGGAATTCTATAGATCGATTATTGGCCCCAGAATTCGGATCACTCCTGTTCGGAATTTCGGCTCGGGTAAAATAATTAGGATCCGAATATAAATTGGATCGGATTCAGATCACCCTTATATGATCGGAGAGATTCGATTCAATATATTATATATTTATAAATATAAATATATATAATACATATATTATTTATTTATATATTTATTTATTTATAAATATGTTATCTATATTATATTTTTATAAATTTATTATATTATTTATTTATTTTATAAAAAGCATGTATATATATGATGAAAATAATTAAAAATACTTGTATTTTTTGTTTTTACTTTATTTAAATTAGAATATTTTATTTTATTAATAACTTATTAATTCTTAAAGAAGACAAGTCAAATCGGATCGGATCCAAAGATCAGACTTATCAATAGGATTTGAATTCAAATCGAGTCCTATCATATCCGATCGAATCGATTCCAACATAAACAGTATTGAATCCAATCCGATCCGTTTACATCCCTAGCCACCAGCATGATCAATGATCACTGAAGTAGGTATGCAGGTGAAAGTCTAGACCTGTTCAAGAGTCGAGTAGCGTAACGGCCTGGTCTGGATTCGGTCGGGCTTGGACATATTATTAGGTCCGTGTGCCCAGGCTCAGGCTCTATAATCTAAGCCCGACTTAATTTCGGGTCAGGCTCAGGATTTTACAAAAAAGCCCAGCTCGAGCCCAGTCCGACCCGATAATAATTTAAATACTAATATCTATATATATGTGTGTATAATTTTTTTTCTAACCCAAACTCATTTGAATCAAAAGTCTTTCACTCTTCCTCATCCCTATTTTGTGTTTTGTTCGAACTTCGGACAAATTGAACTTCTTCCATTTTTCAGCGGCGATCAGCGATAGTTAATCTACCTTCTATACTACATGGTCAACGGCATCTAACGTGACAAGCCGACAACCAACTCTAAGTACTCAATAGCATCTCCATTTCTTCAAGCTTTGGGTCCAGACTCCATAGTAGTGGCATCCCCAACAATGGCCGGCGACATCTACAACTACAAGCCAACAAGCAACAACCAGTGAACTCCATCTCTCTCTCTCTACAGTTTGCTGGCAACTAACCCTTCCTACAGCAAATCGACGATATTTGGATCAGAAATGTAACTCTCTCAAATCATCTCTTGAACTTTAGGCTCAGGCTCGGGCTTATGATTTAGGTCCGATGGTCGGGCCAGGCTCGGGCTCGAGCCTCAATATATTGCATTAATAAAAAGTGAAAGCCTGACCTGAGTCCGGCCCGGCCCGACTCATGAATAGGTCTAGGTGAAACCCATTAAATCAAATAATCTATAAGTTTTGATGTTTGAGTTTGACAACCAAATTAATCATTCATTATTCCATATAACTAGCGGAGGGGCCCCTACATTGCAGGGGCAAAACATGATGGTAAGTGGCATGTCAAAGGTAAATTATTATATAGGAAAAAATTGTAAAAGGTAAATTTTATAATTAAAAGTTTATTGGAAAAAATATCTATTTAAAATAAATAAAATTTTATGGGTAATAATATATTTAATTTAATAAAATAAAACAATAAATAAATAAATAAATAATCACGAGCATCAAGCAATAGAGTGAAAGAGGAAGAGATGACTTTTGTCATTGTATTTTTGTTTTATATAGTGGAATAATTGTAAATAGTTAAATAATATTTAATTTAATTTAATTAATAAATATTTTTAGTAAAATAAATGGGATAAATAGACAATCAAGTGAGAGAGTAAATATATACACGATTCTATGTCTTACTTTTCTAGCAATAATAATTTGTTGGATTATTAAAATATTAATTAATTAAATAATATAGTAAAATAAGTAAATAAATAAATCAAGCCTTTTGTATTATCAACACAAGATTGGTAAAGGCTATCTCAAATTATTTAATTAATAAGTTTAGTGCTTTTAATGGGTTAGGCTGAACTATTAGGCTACCTTGCCCATGAACAGGCTTAGCCTAGTTCATGGCCCGGCCTAGCCTAAGACTTAGCCCATGGACTAGCTCGGCCCACAACACAGCAAGAGCCCATGCAGGCTTAGGCTAAAATAAAATTTTAAGATCTTTTTTAATTCATGCTAAAATTTTAATTATTCTTTTCAAAATTTTTAAAAAGCATGGCTTAGCTCAATTTATGGCCGAACTTGGCCTAAGACTTGGCTTGCCGCACTAAAGGTGTCAATAGACCGATTTTTGATTGGACCCCGTCTAGTCCAAAATCAATTTGGACGGATTAGACCAATCCAGTCCAAAATATTTATTAGATTGGATTAAGCCAATATTTGGTCTATTGATATAAGATAAGAATATATGTGTCAATGGACCGGGTTTGGGTTGAAATCAATCTAAATCAAAATGAATTTGAATAGATTGGATGGCCCAAACATTGAATTGGACCTGTCCAAATTTCTCCAAAACATTCATTGGATTGGATTGGACCTACTCCATTTATAATGGACTCACATTAGATTGGATCAGATTGAACCAAATCTAGTCCAATTGACACCCCTATGTGGCATGGCATGGGCCTACACGGGCTCAGTTCAATTTTATTGTTGTATATATAAACAATTATATTCATCAAATTTCATATAAAATAAAATTTTAAGAGGTCCGAGGGCTGTGTCGGGCTGACCCCCTAAAGTATCCGAGGGGAGGAAAGCAAGGCCCAACATGGCTTGATTGTAAATAAAATAAGAGATAGACAGTTTTTAACAAATATGAACAAAATAAAAGTTTGATAGCATCATTGCAAATAATCAACAGCGGCACCATTATAAATAATTACATGTTTAATATCAAATATGAAAAAGAAAAAAAAAGAATAAGTTATAATTGTTTTTATTTTATTCAATGATATCATTATAATTAATGAAATTTGTAATGATAATGTTTAAAAGCATGAAAAGAAAAACATCACAAGATTATAAGAATTTATTTAATTAATAAAAAATTCCATTTACAAACGTACAACAATAGCGGCGCAGCATTTTACTTTTACATAATATGTAAATACTGCATTATATTTTCCTTGAACGAGTGAGTTTAGAAGGCAACGTACCCTTTGTTTGGTAGTGTACAAGAAAACGTACATGTACACATATTTATAGCATCTCATCTCATCTCTTCATCCAATTGGGATCAGTTTTGTCTAGTCGAGGAGGATAATAAATTGTTGGGAGCAATTGTGACCTTAGGGACCACGGTCCCTGAATGCTTGAATCATTAATTATTTAAATAGGTAGATGTCTTTTCTTCTCAATGGGATGGATGCCAAATCTTTATGGGTAGTGACACGCGTACAATTTGTATCTGGTTATTGATTCCTGTGGAGCCCACCGTGTTATCCTCTCGACGACGGTTCAGTGACAACCCTCGGAGTCTAGTCAGCATGAGATGACGTGGAGAATCTTGATCCAAGATTTTAAGCATGCGGTGTCTGGAGATGCCTTGACCACATCTTTGAGTTTCAGACTTGATCACGTCACCTCATTGAGCAAAGAAAATGGATAAGAAAACTTCACTTTGTTATTGTAAATTGTAATCCGTAAGCCGATCCTTACTGGTTTCTCCCGGTTTGACCGTTTGAGTCAAATTATAAGTTAGAACATCGGTTCTGCTGTCTAACTTCTTCCCAAAACGACTCGACCAACACAAACCAGTTTACTCTACAAGTTCTCCCATTTTATTATACCCAGGGTTGGCATGATTCATGGACGAGCCAATCTGGTTCGTCTCGACCCGGTATCACTCCTGGTCAGCACACCCCATCCTCCCTCTCCAGAGAGCACCCACAGACCCACTCCACCAAGGCAAGCCGCGCGAGTACATTAAAGAAAAAAAAACAGTTACAATGGAAAAAGATAAACATTAGGTATATGATATATTTATTTATATATAGTTTAAAAGCAACATTAATTAATATTAATATAAAGTAAGAGTTCCTTCTCCTCTGTTAAGATCTCTCGAGCAGCTGCCTCCGCCGTTTCTTGGTCCAAATAACGCTTGTATGGCGACCACCGTGAAGAACAGCAGCCGAGTTTCGCTTGCCATGGAGAGAACTGGCCAATGGTAATTTAGAAGAGAAACATAACCGCCGACTGCAGTCTGCAGTGCCTATGTTCTTCTTTCTATTTTTTCTAATTATTCATGAGACTCTTCGCTCTGTAATGAATTACTTGTTTTCTTTTTTTCTTGTCTTTAGGGTTTTCTCGCAAGAGATCCCTTCCGACGTAGTCATCGAGATCGGCGAGGCGAATTTCGCCCTCCACAAGGTAAGGGAATCTCCTGCTCCTCCAAATTTTCGTTTTTCAGAAAATATTTTGATTTATTTTTTTTTTGTTATGGAAAATTATCCGAAAATGAAGCAAGAACTACTGAATTTTGATTTTGCTCGTCCTTCTCCTCCCAAATTTACTCTGCCTCGCCGTAGCTAGAGATACTTTACTTCCATCAACATTACACAGTTGTTATCTTTTGAAATCAAAATGATAAGTACTTTGTCTGTCTTTTGCTGGTTGTCGACTTGTTGCAGTTCATGCTAGTGGCTAAGAGCGGTTACATAAGAAGAAAGATCATGGAATCGAAAGAACCAGATTTGACTCGGATCGATCTTTCAGACATCCCTGGAGGGCCTGAGATCTTCGAGAAGGCGGCAAAATTCTGCTATGGTGTCAACTTTGAGATAACAGTACACAATGTCGCCGCACTTCGCTGTGCCGCCGAGTATCTCGAAATGACTGATAAATGCAGCGAAAGCAACCTCGCCGGACGGACCGAGGATTTCCTCTCTCACGTGGCCTTGACCACTCTTCCGGGAGCTGTTGTCGTCTTGAAATCTTGCGAGCTTCTCCTTCCCATGGCAGCAGACCTCAAGATTGTACAAAGATGTATAGATGTTGCAAGCGCAAAGGTAGATGAATGGGTAACTATATGAGGTTTTATTGCCATCATGGATAATTAAAGTCATCCTCGACTGAGCTATGAACTCTTTTTTTTTTTCGCTTTATGCTTTCAGGCATGTAGTGAGGCAAACTTTCCAAGTCGCTCCCCTACAAATTGGTGGACCGAGGAGCTATCGATTCTAGACATCAACTCTTTTCAAAAGGTTTTTACTTCCATGAAAACTCGCGGCGCGAAGACACTAACCCTAGCGAGTTGCTTGATGGTGTACGCCGAGAAAGCCCTTCCAGACCTCGTCCGAGACCACACCGGAAATGGCACTAAATCGTTGGATCCCGGTGACTCTAACATCAGGAACCAGCAACGGGACCTTCTTGAGTCGATTGTTGCGCTCTTTCCCTCCGAAAAAGCTGCCTTCCCTGTAAACTTTCTGTGTTGTATTCTTCGATCGGCGATTTTCTTGAAATCGTCGATTAGTTGTAAGAACGAGCTCGAGAAGAGGATCTCGGCGATATTGGAGCACGTTACTGTGGACGATCTATTGGTTTTGTCGTTCACTTATGACGGGGAGACGCTCTTCGATCTGCAAAGCGTTCGTCGGATCATCTCAGGATTCGTGGAGAAGGAGAAGAGCGTGGCGGTCTTTAGCGCTGGTGACTTCAGCGAAACTTGTTCCACAGCCATGCAAAGGGTTGCTAAGACGGTCGATGCTTATCTCGGTGAGATTGCTACGTACGAGGATCTTGCTATTTCCAAGTTCAATGGCATCGCGACTCTCGTGCCCAAGACGGCGAGGAAGGTAGACGATGATCTCTACCGAGCAATCGATATCTACTTGAAGGTGAGTTCACTCCGGCTGTCGGGCGTAAGACTGATGCCAGTTGTATTCTATTTTGGCCTATAAATCGTTTTGTTTTGTGTTGCTTGCAATTACATGAGGCCATTTCACTCTGAGCTTATTACCCAAAAAAAAAGTCACTTTGAGCCGTTGGGTAGGGTTCCAATCAACGGCCAGAAAGTGGAGTATAATATAGACCGGAAGGTTGATCTGATCTCTTAAGGGTCTAGCCAACCGGAGCCGAAGGTACCATTTGAATGGTCCCAGTTAAACCGGAAGAAAAGCAATCCTGTTGGATGATTATTGGATATTCGACGATTGTGATCATCCATCCAGTCAGGTTGAGAAGATTCTTGTATCAAAGCCGATGGCTCTGGGTTGAGTGCATATAGTGTTGACTTTTTACACGTTGACGTGTCAACCTGGAACTCATTTGTTACTTGTGGATGCATATTTTAATTTCATCATGTTGCTGGTTTTGGTTTCGATTCAGGCACATCAAAACTTGGACGAGATCGAGCGGGAGAAAGTGTGCAGTGTGATGGACCCACACAAGCTTTCTTACGAAGCTCGGGTACACGCCTCCCAGAACAAGCGTTTGCCGGTTCAGATCGTCCTCCACGCACTTTACTACGACCAGTTGAAGCTTCGAAGTGGCGTCATAGACGATCGTAAAACACAGGACGCGTTAATGACCAGGAACCAGATTCAAGCAGATGTTTCCCTGATCAAAGAGAACGAGGCCCTGCGGACGGAGCTATTGAAGATGAAGATGTACATCTCGGACCTGCAGAAGAATCAAGGAACCTCCTCCAAGTCAGGGGGCTCCAGGAAGCCCACTTTCTTCTCATCGGTATCAAAAACTCTTGGGAAGCTGAATCCGTTCCGGCACGGATCCAAGGATACTTCCAATATCGATGACAGTGCCATCGACTTGACCAAGCCTAGGAGGAGGAGATTCTCTGTCTCTTAAAATGTAGGAGAAGCTATTATTAGTTTATTGCCTTACTTATACGCTATACCTATATATATATATGTACTACTGTACTGTTTAATTTTAGTTGGCTAGAAAACTGCTAGCTTCTTGTAAATATTCCGGCCTGTTTATGATTATCATGTCTGAGTTTGCCATTTTGATAATTATTCGTTGGAGATTTTTGTTCTTATAAAGGAGGATCGAATGAATTTGAAGTGACCCTAGACTTAGAATCGGTTTAACCAAGAATTTGATTAGTAGTAGTTCATTCCGTGTGGAGTGTGTGGGGACTCCTGCCGGCACAATACCCTTAATTTGCATCCATGCATGTACAACTTCTTATTGATGCGAAAAAATGGTTGTACATGATTGGCCGGTGGTGGGCGAACAATAATTATGGTAGCATTGAACCTGTTTCGAGACCACGTGGAACGAAATAAATAATTTAGGTTAAATTGCTAAAACCTATCAATGAAGTTTCAAACATTTCCTGAATATTGATAATTGCAATCAATTTTCTATTATTGTAGCAAATAGATTCTTTTTGCTAGAATCCTCAATCCTCTAAAAATAGGCATTGAAAAGTCCAAATTACCCAATTATTTTTTATCAAAATATTTATTTTCTAGATTTTCATTACATATGAATGGTTAGCCCAAACCCTTTCATTCTCTTTTATGAGATATATTTATTTTTTAAAAATGTCCTTCATGTTAATTGCTCAAAGGTAAAGATGCAACATTAAATTTTCTTTTCTTATTGTTTATAAAGATTGAATTGTTTTTTCTCTTTAGAAAAAGCCTCAACAGTAATTGCATGGGTACTTGGGACCAAGGTTCGAAATTTCAATATATATCATACCATATCATTCGATGTATATCATATTGGGAGCCTCCCGATATGCCCTTGGAAGGGGTGTTTCGGGGTTTAACCCGTCTCAGGGGTAGAAGAGCATTAAACCGACCCCTTTGAACCAGGTTCGCAAAGAAAAAAAAAAAGAGTAACAAGGGCTGATACAACCCAATACACCCCAGGCGAGCTTCAGCGATCTAGCCCAGAATGTCTCCCAGCCCAAACTACAAAGCCTCACTAATGATTGAGCCCTCCATGGCTTCTTTGAGAGTTGGAAGTTGGCTAACTGTGGAGCTGGCCTCACAGATCGAACCTTTCATGATTCTCGTGAAAGTAGGCGACCAGCAGACAGTAGAGCCACCCCCTCAAGGTTAGCACCCACGACTCTAGTAGGAGTGGGTGGCTAACAATTTCAAGGGCAGGTGCAATGCATGTGCGGCATTGACCTACAAACGCAAACCCAGGGGGGTCAATCCCACGTGATGGCAAAGATGCATTCGTGTTTAAAGCTAATTGTGGAGCTGGTCTCACAGGTCGAACCTTTCATGATTCTCGTGAGAGTAGGCGACCCACAGACAGTAGAGCTACCCCCTTAAGGTTAGCACCCACGACTCTAGTAGGAGTGGCTGACCAGCAATTTCAAGGGTAGGTGCAATGCATGTGCGTCATTGACCTACAAACGCAAACCCAGGAGGGTCAATCCCACGTGATGGCAAAGATGCAGTTGTGTTTACAGCTACTATAGAATGACCATTCGCTTTGGCGACTTAGTCAAACTGAATTCTAAGGGGAAGCCAAACCACTTTTAGATAAGGCCCCTTACGTCGATCTCGAGACACATCAGTAATTTGATACCTCAATAACATTTTGACTTAGCCAAAATTATGAGTCTAGTAGCTTTGGCAACTAGGTAGTTCGTGCACCTCATCACGTCGGCAACACTAGATGTTTTCAAGACTTAGCTTATTTTCTAGCAATTAAAAATACACGACAAGAAGAGGGGCACAATATATATATAGAAACTTTGCTTCATTTGAAAGAAAATAGTATATCTCAAAAAAAAAATGTTTGGTTAAGCGTCCCCTTCCCCGGCATCGTCGTTCCTGCCAACCTCTTCAAGATCGTCTTCACCGATAATCTTGTCAGAGGTGTTTGGCTCGACGTCCATTACATCCACCAAGTTATTGGGGACCGGCCAGATGGAGATATGGTCGAAGTCAAAACCAAAGTGGCGGCCCTTGATGAAGCGGCGACAAAGTCTGAACCAACTCTACAGAGAAGGCACCGCAGCAGTAGCTTTCTCCATCTTGAACTCAACTCGATGGACCTCCTTGGCATGCCTTGACCGCCACTCTTCTAGTATACGGTCTCTTGCTTTCACCTCAATAGTCAAACTAGCCATCCTCTCTTGGGTCTCTCCATGTCAACGACGTTTGTACTCAACAGTGAGCTGAGTATCCTGAAGTTTAAGCCTCGAGAAGCGTGATCTGATTCCTCATCTTGTGTTTCTCACACCTTGTGCGTGCAGCCTGTTCCAAGAGAACTTGCATGAAGGAGTTGTCCTGGGAGCAAATGTAGCAGTTAGAGCAAGTTGAAAAAAAAAGAAGAAAAACAAGCACAACATACTTGCATCGCGTAGCAAACTATCCGAACGGCCAGGTTGGAGGATCAAGCTCCCCATAGGCCCAAGCGTCCTCTAGAAGAAGAAAACCTCTCCCCATCGCGTAGCAAACTATCTAAATCCAGTTAGTGACGAAGACGTCGGACACACTAGGAATGAAAGGGGAAGCCCTAGAGATGGAGGCCCTTGCCACAACCTTAGGAGTTGGTACAGGGGTGCGTTAGAGGTTGAATCAAGAACATGGGCAAGATCAAGACACACTACATCCCCGCCCTCTTCTAGGTCGATCACGATGTGCTCGGTCGACCTCCTCATTGACGATGAGTTGGCGGCCTCCCTTGCCTTTTGTTGACCCCGACTGCCTTGGCCGCAACAAGGATGTTGGATGCGCTTGACATCTTTGCATAGGAAATTACAATTAGACGAATTGGAAACAAAAGAAAAAGCAGCTTGCAACAAAGAAAATATCAAGGAAGACCAACCAATAGGACTAAGGCCGGCCTCAACAAGCCTTGGCTCAGTTAAGAACTCCTCAGCCCGAGATTGTCATACTACAAGGAACATGACTTCATCATCCAGCTCGCTATCAAACGCGACTCCCTTGATTCAGGTCACCAAGTAGTATCGACCGGCTAACCATCTTCCCGTGATAGGAAGAAGTACCTATGCTTCTAATATCTTACTTTCGTAAGGAAGCCATAAAGGAGTTTGTACCCTGGGCGGTAACTTATATAAAAACAATAGGGCACCCTAGGCATTTTCTTAATATATTGCAAAGCCCAACGAAATACCGAGGTGGTGACAAAGAGAGATTGTCCCCATGATGCACCGAATTGAGTTCAGATGGAGTTGTCCTAGGGAGATTCCTTAGTGACTGAGCACCTTGCAAAAGATGGGGTGAAGTGGGAAACGGAGTTCGATGACCATTGCCTTTTCAAAAATACATACTTGGTTCAGGCTGTGGTCGCATGGATATTGGCTACGACTGGGCAAGATGCAGTCATAAGATAAAGGAATGCAAAAGGTCGTCACCATCCCAACAACCCCATCATCAGTCAGCGAGCTAAGGACAACCCCCCCCCACGGGTTAAGAGGTAGAGGCTTCCCTCTAAGAGGCCTACCGCTCTAGAAGCGAGGTGTCAACCTCGTCTCGAGCGGGCACATTCAACTCCCCGTCAGAAGACACTTTGGAAAAGAAAGGCCACTCACTAGATAGGACGACGACAAATAAACTTTATAACGAACTAAAAGAAAGATCTCACTTGCAACAGGTAGAGCTTGTCCACACTCAAACAATCTTCGTAATGCACAATGTGAATGGGATCCCCAGGCCCCCCTCTATTTATAGGAAAGGGACCCAACTTTTGAATGGCTACGATGATAATGATCAGACGACTCAAGGATCATCCCAGGCAAAGAATGGCGGGTGATTTGAATTTGAATTATGCGCACCTCAATCAAATTTTGAATTTGTTGTGCACTGCTTTCTGCACGCCTTAAGCAAATTTTGAATTTTCTGTGCGCTGCTCTCTACATGCCTTAATCAAATTTTGAATTGGTCACGCGCTGTTGCCTGCACGCCTTAAATCGAATTTTGAATTTGACGCACGTAGCTTATACCCCATCTTTGGGAGTTCGAAATTCACCTCGCTGCAAACGTCGAGGTACCGAGCTTTCATAGAGGGATGAACCGGACATAGTCACTTCGACCAAAGATGTATAGCAAGCCTACCTCGAGACATGTCTTTGCAGGTTGGCCCCCATCTAATTAGCTTGATAGCATTTTGAATTTGTCGCTACCCTAATTGGCCAGTCCGGTCTTTTGCACAACAACGTAAGTGTATTTCGGTTTAAAGGAGGACTAGTTCACTTTCAGCACCTCGGCAGACATGCAAACTTGGCCTTCTTCACAATCGTCCTTCACCTTGGTTTTAGGCTCCGCATCGACCTTGTTGGCTACTCCTTCAAGGGCTGGATTGAGGGACGTTGTGTTGGAGTCTACATAAGTGGAGTGACCTGGGGAGGCAGTCACGCAATTAGAAGCCCCTCTTGAGAACAGCATACCAAACTTCATTCTTGAGGTATTTGGATGAATTGTAGAAGTCCTTGACGGTTGCATCCCTTGTACGGTAAATGTCCTCGGAGTGCCTGCTCCGCCTCTCCTCGAGCAGATGAGTTCACTCCTGTTCCTCAATAATCAAGATAGTGAAGTCTTGCGTAATGTTGCATTCAACCCTTAGACTCTTCCGACATGGGGAGCAAACTGGGTCGATGCCTATGAGTTCATCAAACTAGTCATTCCGGGCCAAGGACTTGTAGTTAGCTACTTCCTTCACCGTATTGACCACGTCTCCTAAGTGGAGGGGCAATTGATGAGGGATGATTTGGCCCTCCAGTGATATTATGCCACATGGAGAGCTTAAACCATTGTTTAACACCTCGACACCACATAGGCATCTCAACATTGGACCAAGTCGGCCATCTCCGAGTTGCCTTCCAACAGGAAGCGACCTGATCGCGCTTCATCACCAGCCTCATCTACTCTCTATCTCATTTTCTTGTTTACCTTCCCCCCTCCAAAAAAAATGAAAAGAAATTTCATGGTTATGCCACTAAATATGGAGAACAAGACAAGGTGGGAAGAAGAGATTACCTCTTTTCTTTCTTTCTCCGTCTTATGTAACTATCCCT